ACGTATACTGGATGGTTATCAAAATTTTAACACCCCATTTATGCGATTTGCTGGGCATAATTATATTTACATCGTATATTGAACAGTTACTAAAATTTTATACTACGTTTTTCCTGAATTTTATTGAACATGTGTTGAATAAATTTACACCTTACCTTATTGAAAATATGTTTTGTCGATAGTAATATGTGGTCTTTTACAACAATTTTGATTGCTGTCAATGTAGTTGAACCAACCTTTGGGTTCAAAACAAAACCTATCAATTTGTTGTTTGGATTCCTTGGTAAAATCTGTCTACACATAGATATGAGCAAAAATGAGAAAACCCACTTTGTATATCGTAGAAGTGCAATATTTATACTCCTTGACTCATATGTGCAGTGTGCGTGCATGCAGAATTGAAAAAAATGCATATAAATTTGCAGAAGGCAGTTTTTACCACTCTAAATTCTTTTAAATTTACATGTTCTTGTAAGTTCGATCATATTCTTAACAATTACTACAAAAGTGCCGTCCGAACATCGTCTTTCGTACTACCGGTCAAATGACCGGTCGCGGTAGGTAAGACAGTATGCATTTTTTTCCAAAAACTAGCTGTAAGTGGAATTCTGTCTTAAGGCAATTAGGGCATCGTGCCTTAAGGCAAATTGCTGGAACTTCCCGTACCAAAAATTATTATTTTTTTTAAAAACGATTAACATTTTTGAAAAAAAAATTACTTCAAAAAATAAGATTTTTGAGAAACTATAAATTGGACAAAAAATTAGTTTTTTTTGAAAAAAAAAAATTTTTTAAAAAAAATTTTTTAAAAAAAAAATTTTAAAAAAAAATTTTTTTTTTGTAAAAAAAATTGTTTTCTTTATTTTGACATATTTTGGAAGATCTGAACTTGTTTTTCAAAGCAATCGTACTACTTTAACTGCATAGAGACAAAATATAAAGCGCGTAAGCGCGGCGTCGCTGTCTAACGGGTAAACATTGGTACGGAACCCAAAGGAAAATAAACAAAATTTATACTTTTTGTTAAAATCTCTATAAAATATCTGAAAAATTGATGTGCATATGTCTAATGATCATTTTTGACCGCCAAATGGCCTTTTTTTTTACTTTTTTCGTTAGATCTCCGAACCGCTAGACCTGCCTTTATGAAATTTGATCAATTCTTTATCTTGTCAATACAAGTAAAATGTTTTTTGAATTATTAAAATCGGACGCTCCGTTCTCTTAAAAACTGAGTTACCGTTTTCGGCACTTTTTGCCCCGTATCTCCGGAACGGCTGGACCTGCCTTCGCCAAAAACTAATCAGCACGTCTCCTTATCAATACGAATCGAATGTTTTTTGAATTATTCAAATCGGTTGATTCGTGTTCCCGAAATCGTCGACGAAAATTTGTATCCGCACATACATACACACACGCACACACACACACACACACCACACACACACACACACACACATACATCCATTTTTTCTACGGTATGCCAAAATGTTCAGAAACCTCTGAAACGTAAAGATATATAAAAATTTTCATTTTCGATTTTTTTGCGATTACTATAACTTACCCTACGGGAAGTTAATAAAAATTGTATCATACTCACATATGAGGAAAAGTCATAAAGTTTGATGACGATTCAATTACATTTGATATGAAAAATACTAATCGAAAAATCAAAAACGGTCATTTGACCGGTCCCGGTAGGAATAGTGTTAAAAATATAATTTCTATAATGTTTTCTTTACTTTTTAGATTTTCGAAAACTCCGCAAAGTTCCGCAGCAAAGAAATATCCGACATGAAAAAGAAACTGGAATTAGCAGAAGCAGAATTAGCCGAAGCAGACGTCGACAACAAATCACTAAAATCGAAATGTGGTATCCTCGAGAAAACAATTGCAGAGCTGCAAGACAACATAAGTGTTAGGAAAGAACACGAGGACATTCTATTGAAGAATATGACTAAAATATTAATGGAGCGCGAAAGTCGTCTTTCGAACGAATCCAAACTTCGATCGGAGCTCAGTGTGCAGATGGGAAAGCCTGTGATGTCTGCGATACCAGAAAATGATGACAACACGTGTTGCATGCATTATAAATTTTGATTGATAAAAATAAATATAAATATGAGACGTACTGCAATAATAAAAGTGACCAGAAATCGAGAAATGTCTTTGCATTCATCAGCTAAGTAATTAAATTCATAAGTTTTTTTTTTTGGATTTTGGACCAAGTGAGATAAAAGAAACACGCAATCCTGAATTTTAACCATCCTATTACAAACCCCTATTTTAGTAATCGACTAGTGGTGCATCGTGCCTTAAGGCAAATTGCTGGTACTTCCCGTACCAAAAAAAATTTTTTTTTAAAGATTAACATTTTTGGAAAAAAATTACTCTGAAAAATTAGATTTTTGAGAAACTAAATTTTTGACAAAAATTTACTTTTTTTGAATAATAGACTTTTTGAAGAAAAGTGTATTTTGAAATATTTTGGAAATTCTGAACTTTTTTTCAAAGCAATCGTACTGCTTTAACTGCATAGAGACAAAATATCAAAGCGCGTAAGCGCCGCGCCGCCGTCTAACGGATAAGCATTGGTACGGAACCCATAGGAATGTAAACAAAATTTATACTTATTGTTAAAATCTCTACAAAATATCTGATAATTTGATGTGCATATGTCTAATGATCATTTTTAACCGCCAAATGGCATTTTTTTTTACTTTTATCATTAGATCTCCGAAACCGCTAGACCTGCCTTCATGAAAATTTGATCAATTCTTCACCTTGTCAATACAAGTAAAATGTTTTTTGAATTATTAAAATCGGACGCTCCGTTCTCTTAAAAACTGAGTTACCGTTTTCGGCACTTTTTGCCCCGTATCTTTGGAACGGCTGGACCTGCCTTCGCCAAAAACTAATCAGCACGTCTCCTTATCAATACGAATCGAATGTTCTTTGAATTATTCAAATCGGTTGATCCGTGTTCCCGAAATCGTCGACGAAAATTTGTATCCGCACATACATACACACACGCACATACATACATACATACACACACACAAACACACACACATACATCCATTTTTTCTAAGGTATGCCAAAATGTTCAGAAACCTCTGAAACGTAAAGATATATAAAAATTTTCATTTTCGATTTTTTTGCGATTACTATAACTTGCCCTACGGGAAGTTAAAAAATAGTATTGAAATCTTTTTTTTAAAAAAATTTTGAATATTTTTTTATATTCTAAAAATATTTTAGCAAGTTTGAAATTTTTGAAAATATTTGATTTTTATGAAAATTTCGAAATATTCCCAAATTTTTGTAAAAAACCGTTTTTTTTTTAATTTTGTATTTTTCAAATTTTTAAAAATAAAAAGATGAAAAATTGCGAAAATTTAAATTTTTTGAAACTTAATTTTTTTTTGAAAATTCTTATTTTGTTTTGAAAATTTTCAAAATTATGAAATTTCTTGTAAAAGCGTTTTTTTACTGCCTGTACCAAAAACTAATCAGTGTGTCTCACCATCAATAGGAATCAAATGTTTTTTGAATCATTACAATCAATTAATCCGTGTTCACGAAATCGTCAAGAAAATTTTGTATCCGCACGCACGCACGCACGCACGCACGCACGCACGCACACATTCATTTTTTCTAATTCTTAGATATGACAAGTATTGAGAAAGCTTTGAAACGTAAAGATATATAAAAAACTTCATTTTCGATTTTTTTGCGATTATTTGATTTTCACTGAATTTCAATTAATATTTCCTTGAGCTTATATAAAACCTTATTATCATTTTTTTTTGTTTCATTAAGGGTTGTCCACCCTTAACACTTTCTTTTAATTTTTTGGAAAAATTTTCTTGACTTTTTTATAACGTGAAAATGAGGAATACTACAATCCTACATTTTCACCCTCCTAATAGAGACTTCTATTTTGTAATTGTTTTTTGCAGTAAATCATGCGATCACTAATTAATAATAAATATTTCTAACTTTATTTCCATTTTTTTTTTTGTGAAATTATAGCAAAACCTAAACCGTTTTACAGTAAGAATTTATTTTTTGTAAGAGCTGTCTATATCTAACATTTACATTTTATATTTAAAACAATTTAGTATTTAAATTTGTCATAATGCACAAAGGTGAAGCTACAGATGACTATTTTCAAACATTTTTACCACAGATCCCTTAACAATCAATATAGAAGATAAATCATTACTTATTTCGTTCTTTTAATCTTTTTAAATTTTATTTCGTTTTTTTAAAAAAGCAATTTTACTAAAATATCAAAACAGTTAATTTCTATTATACTTAGTGTTACCAGTGAAAAATCCTAATAATTTTTTATGTAATCATTTTCTGGTTATACAGATTTATTACTCAATAAGAACAAAGTCAATCTGCAGTTTCTCTTATACAATAAATTTTCTATTTCTCTCCGCAATTTTATAATTTAGCATTAAAAGTAGTAGTAACAGCGAATAGTAAGAATAAAAAGATATCTAAATTATGTTTCTTAAATTAATTTTAGTATGGAATCATACATCTCCAAGCTCAGTTTTACTTTTTCAGTGGATAAAAGTAAAATAAATTAAGTAAAATACATTATTATTGAAAAAGTTAAGTAAAGTTAAGTAAGAAATTTATTATTGAAAAAACAACAAAAATATTATGTAATAAGGCAAGACTAGAGATTAAAAAATTACACAAACATAAATATGTAATTGTTATATGTAACACTAGATTTACCTTACATTATAATATTTTTGTCTATTCCATGATAAATTCAATATAGTATTTATATATCCATTTTTGTAGTTTTGTCTAATGAAGAAGGGCCAAATTGGGACTCGAAACGTATGGATATTGATTAAAATTTATTTTAGAAACATAATATAAATATAATATATATAATATATATATATATATATATATATATATATATATATATGTATATATGCATTTATTTATATTATCAAAAAATAACTTACGTCAACATCACTTGCAGAAAATAGCACAGATTATTAAACCTCTTCGAAACCTCCAAAACCTGATGAGCAGGATCATCAGGCATACTAAAAGGCGGCATCGACAGACATAATTCATCATTCGATCTAGCCACAGTTTCCATAACATTTGCATACAACACATCCATTAAAGAATGCAAAGAATTAATGGTCATTCGAAATTGTCTTTCCCAATTAGTTTTGTGATTGATGCCTTTGGATCCACCTCCCCCAGTCTAAAAATAAACTAATGAATATCGTCAACAAAATATAATAATGTGTCATTTGATCTTACCTGTTGTAGCAAATGCATACACTTGGCAGCGAGGATCACTTTATTTTTGTTCTGATCTTGTAAAAAATTCAGCAAGTATTTTTCTAAATTCGTTTTAGAATTACCGCATGTTCCAGGAAGATATTTTAGGCAAACTTCCAAACAATACAAAGATGTCAGCAAAGTTGGGTCTTTCATAATGCATTCCATTAATTTTCCAATGCTGTTGTTTGATACTGACTTCAAGAAGTCGGGCAAAGTGCTCATGATTGTAATAAGAGACGCTGAAAAAATAATAATAATAGCTATATATATTAAACCTAAAGTGTAAGTACATAATATTTATTAGAGAGTCTTTTATTACCCAATGAAAGATATGCGAGATTTCTAACACTTGCATCTTCATTCTCACAAGCTCGTATACACGAGACGACCCATGTCATACCATTTTCATGAATAATTTCTGTGGAACCCCTCGGCAACAATATAGCTAAATACACAAGCCCTTCATTCACAGTCTTTTTAGTTCCTAACAAATTTGTAATATGTGATACAACAGTCTGAAATATAAAAAGTTGCACAATTGTAAAACAAACCATAACCAACAAATATAATAAATGATGTATATTATATCAATCACCTTATTATCGTGGGAGACACAATTGTCGGAGTAAAGTTTTAATACTTGTTCTAAATTTTCACAAGTGCTGTCTCTCAAAACTTGGTTAATGTCAACAAAGTGTTCCATTTTGGCGAGCGGTCTTAGGTAGACCGTAATTGTTTTATAAGCACAATGGATTTAAGGTGGTTTATTAGCACTCACATTTAATAAGGGATTATTTATTGATATTATATTAGAGAAACAAAGCAAACGCCACAACCGCACACACCGGCTCTGTCGGGAACGCCAGAGAGGGGCACGTGCTGGGAAAGATTCGCAAATGGCGAAAGGAAAATGGCGGCAAATTCAAAAATAGAAAAGATAGTAAAAGATATAAATTGATAATTATGAACTAAACGTGATTAAAGGAGTTGTTGGTGAATTTTAGGTATTAATTGCACGTACATGATAATAAACTTATTAGAATTCAGCGCCTAATTCAATATTTAATATGGTTACTTTTAGTAGCAAAATGGCGGCAGATTCAAACAAAAAATGAGATTTTATCACTTTTTCAATACTTATTAGTATTTTCAATTACTTTTAAACACATATATGCTAAACACATCATAACTTAATTATTTATACTTGTTTAAACCTTTAATTTTGTTTTTTGAAGTTTTTTAAATAAGAATTCACACAGGTCTGTTCCAACTGTACTTGTATTCATATGAGTCTTATGGAGATGGAACAGATCATAAACTTTATTCAAAATTTTGAAATAAAATTATTTTTTAAAATGCAAATTAAAGCAACATTGATATTCTTCACGATAAAACATATAAAATTCTATTTTTTTAAAGTTTGTTGCTTATAATTAGTTTTTATAGTTTATGTCCTTGCTACAAATAGTTTGCGAAACATTAAACACATTTTATTTAAAATAATATCCCATCACAAAATTTGGTTCTAATTTTACTCCAAAATTCCAAAATTTATCTCCTTGGCTAGTAATATAATCATATATAGATAAATAAACATACATATAATATTATTATTATTATTCATGATTCATCTCCATTGTCCAATCCGACATGACACATTTGTTTTGTTTCTCTCAATCTCAAAATCTTCAAAATATTTCCCATTGTCATCATTTAACCTTGTGCATCAAAACCAAATAATTCCAATAATACAATACTTTATTATTTTGTATCAAATGGCTGATCCACGACTCAGACAAATCAAAATTCAAACAGGTATTGTTAAAAGATTGACTAAAGAAGCTGATTGTTATGAAAAGGAAGCCGAACAGCAAAAAAAACGTGTAATTAGTTATAAAGATCAAGGAAAAGGCGAATATGAGATCAGGAAACAGGAAGAGGTGCTCCAGGAGGCTCTGATGATGGTTCCGGACTGCAGGAGGAGGTAAATGATAAATGATGAATGGTTAGGTGAAAATGTAACATAACCTCAAAATGGTAAATGATAATACATTTAATAATAGTATTTAATAGTTCATAAAATCATACATTAAGTATAAAAAATTGAAGTTACATCAAGAAAAATTTAGAGATTGATGAGAAGTCTTCTTAATGGCAGGAAAATACTATTTTATGTATTTAAAGCCCCTTGCAATTTTTCTTTAACTTTACTTATTTATTTATTTAAATATATAGCCCACAGATTTCTCCAAGAGGACTCAAAAATACAATTATTTTACATAATGAATAACAATTAAAATATATACAAAGTTACAATATATAGTTATTAACATAAAATGCTTAATATAAAATACATATAATGCAGAATGTAACAATATTATTTATATACAGAATAAGATAAAATAATGAGATATTTGAAAAAAAAAATAAAAAGGTTAACTTGTGCAGACGGAGATTATTCGATTATTAGGTGAAGTGTTGTGAATATCTATTTCATTATTAATTAAGTTAAAGTTAGAGGACATAAGTAAAATAGGCAAATTTAATAAAAGAGAGAATTAGATTCAGGAGTAGGATAATTGAAAAATAATTGCAAACGCTTAGATAGCCTTGGAACATTAAAGGATAGTTGGTTAAGAATAAGCGTACAGTCTATATAATTATTGCAAAGTTTAAATAAGAACACATAATTGTACAGATAAATCGACGTGAGGCAAGGGAAGGAATACCAAATTCTTTTAGTAAAGTGTTGTGGTCAAAGCCACGTTCAGGGTAAATTTTATGTGTTTTATAATAAAGATATTTCAGAAATTTTTGCTGAACCTTCTCTATTGCATCAGAGTTGTTGATTTGATGAGGATACCAAATAATCGAACCATATTCTAATTTTGAACGTACAATAGAATAGTACATGCAAAGAAGTGTATTGTTAGAATTGAATTATTTACAATTTCTCAGTATCAAACTTAAAGATTTATGTGCTCTATTACAAATATCAGTTATATGATCCGTATAAAACAAACCAGAATCAAATAGAACTCCTAAGGTCTGAAATTTTATTACATCTATCAATGCTGGTGTTAGAAATTTTATAATCAAAATGTATGGGAACGCGCTTATGTGAAAAACTAAGAATCTTCCACTTTGATATATTTAAATGTAATTTGTTATAGACACACCAAGAGTGGAAAGAGTCAAGTTGAGACTGTAATAATAAGCAGTCATCAATAGAATTTATTTTGAGATATAGTTTGAGATCATCTGCAAATAATAAATGTGCACAGCTAATAATTTCAGATATGTCATTAATAAAAATAATAAATAATAGTGGACCAAGAATGAATCCCTGAGGAACACCTGAACTAATATTTCAATGTTGCTCAAGAATCCATTAAGATAGGCAAACTGTTTACGATTATTAAGATAACTTATGTCGCGGAATATAAATTATTTCTACTTTCAGGTTGCAAAAAGCTTACGAAGGTTTAAAGTCAATTTTGGACACTGAAAAAGATCTTGTAGAGACAGAAGAATTTAAGTCAGCCGAACAATTCTTGTTGGACGCACAAAAAAAACTGCCACCATCTGAAGGAGGCACCGATTATTGCTAATTTAATTTAACCACCACTTTACTGAATTAATAATTCTAAAATGGCATCACCTAACAATTTTAATACACAGGTAATAATAAATGAATACATTTTAATTATTATTGATACATTTTTACTGTTATTGATTAATTTTTATTGTATCTTTTATTAGGTTGAGAATTCAGTAAACGTTAAAACCAAATCAACTAAAATAAATCATGCAAGTTTATCAAATTTGAAGAATCTTCTACTAGAAATTAAATACATAACAAAAAGCTTAAGTAGCACTGAAAATAATTTAAGACGAAACGCACAAGATATATCTGAGGAGAATTGGAATGTTGAGATTGAAAAAATTGAGATATTAAAAACGAAACTTCAAGAAAATTTAGAAATACTAGACAATCCTGTTTTTGTTAGGAATGTTGCTAAGTGTGTTTCGAAACGGAAACAGAAACGGTTGGCTGTTAAAGCTAGAAAACAGGAATTTAGAGAACGAATGGAAAAGGATATTTTAAGGCGGGCTGAATTGCATAAGGAAATTGATGGAATGTTGGCAGATATTGCAAACGAACATAAAAAGAATTACAGGTAAAGTAACAGACATAGTTAGGCAATTATTTGTTTATTTTTTCTTATAATTGTTTGTTTTTATACAGAAAAAATTACAAATCAAAGAATCCGAATCAGTATTAAGCGATGTCAAGTCTAGAATATCACAAGCACGTCACTGGTTGGGAATTATTGAGCCTTTGAAAGAATTGCGCGGGTTGAGAAATCAGGCTGCACAGGCTCGAGGGGAGAAATTGAGTTTGGTTCATCATGAGGATTTTATCAACACAATGAGTAAATAATAAATTTATTATATATATATATATATATATATATATATAAATCTCGTGTCATGATGTTGGTTCGCGACGGACGATCAAACTACTGAACCGATTTTAAATTTTCGCTCATCGTGTGCATATATATCCAACTTAGGTTATAGGAAATTTTGAAAAGTAAATTTGAAATATAAATACATAATTTTTATAAATTTCTAAAAATTTTGACAGAAAATGACCAAAAAAAAAACAAATCACTATAATGACAAATGTTAAAATTTAAGGAAATTTCGATATTAATTATTCCAAGTTATGTTATAGGCAATATTGCCAAGCAAATTATAGATACAAAACATTATTGTAAAATAAATAATATCATATTATATTAATTTTGGACCAAGAAGGAAATATTTTGACATTTATAAATTTAGTGCATATTGGATATATGAAATTGACATTCACTATTTTTCAATTAAATGCAAATGTAAAAAATCAAATATTTATATAAAAATTGTATATTTAGATAAAGATACTGCGTTGATTTAGACTAAAATTTAATTTATTGACATAAACAAAATTAAAATAAACAAAACACTATGATACGTTGGAATTATTTATCAGAGTGTAAAGAAATTTGTGTAATTAAAATATAATATTATTATTAATATATCAGTTAAGATATATTTTGATTGTCATCGCAAATGCTAATCTTACAGGAAATTGTAACCTCTTAAATGGAATAAATAGTACATTCTAAGGGTATCATTGGAATCTGACAAAAACAAACTAGACACTAAAACTAAATATTATATCATATTATATTAAATTTTGACCGACAAGAAAATATTTTGACAGTTATAATTAATTTGAAATAAAATGCAAATGTCAAAAATCAGATCTTTATGTAAAAAAATATTTATTTCCACAATATTCCTGTGTTGATTTAGCCAAAATTATGAATTTAACAATTAAATAATTATTCTTATGATGACTTAAAATAATTATTAATTTATTAACAAATAAATAATATTTGAAAGAAAATTTTATTGTCATATATGACATGACAAAAGTATAATAAACAAAAAACTATGATGCGAGTGAATTAATTTTTGAAGTATGATATGTCAAATAATTTTGAAATTTTATTGATTTTTTATCAATTTAGGCATATTTTTTATGGCAAAACAACGTTTGCCGGGTTAGCTAGTATATATATATATATATATATATATATATATATATATATATATCATTAATGTATTTTGTTTCCTCAGATAAATTAAAAGAAATCTGGGAAGCAAAGTTAGCGCACTACGTAAAAGAAGAGCAAGATTTAAAAAAATCATTGAACATCCATTACGAAAAGCAGTTTCCAAAAACATTCGAGGAAGAATGGAAAAAGACTTTGTTTGGTGAGAATGCTGCAGATTTTCAAATAAACAGCATTCAAGAATTCGTCGCGATAAGGTAAACAAACTCATTAACATTAAATATTAATATTAATTAGTCTATAATAAATGTATCTATTACATGTGTCTTTTATTAGATCCTGTTGGGACCAATTCATAGTCCCCCCAAATGATGCCGAAGGCTCCAAAATTCCCATAGGTTACGTCATGCCCGTCGAACCAAGTTCGGATTCTTGGAAAAAGTATTTAAGTAATGATAAATGAAGTACAATTAGTATTTTAGCATTTCAAAGCATTTCTTTAGTATAAATTGTGTGTTACTTTTAAATATATTTTAAAAATGTAAAATAAGTATTAATGAATAATATTATTAGTAGGCTCTAGCATGATTTTTTATACTTTTATAACTTTGTGTGTGCCTCAGTGTTATATATTATCTTCTTTATTATATATATATTGTTTTTAATATGCTTCAAATATAAAATTAATTATGATTGAAATACTCATAGTTTTCTTTAAAATACTAGTTATAATGTATGCAATTATTATTATTTAGTTCATTTACAACATCAACTTTAAACTAGCTGTAAGTGGTATTCTGTCTTGAGGCAATTATAGCATCGTGCCTTAAGGCAAATTGCTGGAACTTCCCGTACCGTAAAAAAATGTTCGTGGAATACTGAATGTTTTCAAATAGATTATTATAAATATTGTAACATTGTCTAATATTTATAAGAATTATATAAACTCAATTGCAGAGTTGAAATTATTTGTAAAGTATATTAGAACTATAGTCAGAATTAAAAATAAAATCTGAAATATTTTCGACAAAAAACTAAACTAAAAAAAAAAAAAAAAATGTAACAAAATTTTTTTTTCCAAAATCAATTATTTTGTTAAGACAAGCAGAAAGTTCTTCGAATCATTTAAATGCAACGCTTAGTTCTCTCAAAAACTAACCATTTTTTTAACATTTAGCTCTGTATCTTCGAAATGGCAGGACCTGCCTTTGCCAAAAACTATTAAACACTACTCCTAATCATTACTAATTGAATGTTTTTTAGATCATTCAAATCGGATACTCCGTTCTCTCAAAAAGTCTATTTTTATTTTCTGCACTCTTTGCTTCGTATTTCCGAAACGGCTGGACCTGCCTTTGCCAAAAACTAATCAGCTCTTTTCCTTAACAATAGGAATCGAATGTTTTTTGAATCATTCAAATCGGTTAATCCGTGCGCCCGGAAACGTGACTGGAAATTTGTATCCATACATACATACACACACACACACACTCATCCATTTTTTCTGCGGAATGCCAAAACGTTCAGAAACCTTCAAAACGTCGAGAAATGTAAAAATTTTCAATTCCGATTTTCGGCCCATTACAATAACTTACCCTATGGGAAGTTAATTATGTGAATACGTTTGCGGACATGAATGCTATAGCATTCATTTTCATTGTAATGTAGAATGATATGAATGCTATAGCATTCAAATTTTAAAGTGAATTTGAATTTTTTTTGTAATTATTATACTGTCCAAGTGTAATATTTGATTCTCTATTATTAGATTGCGTAAAGTAGAAGCGTAATACTTGACGTGGATGCTATAGCATTCATCTAGTATATAACGATTAAAATACGGTAATCTGACTACCCTTATGAACGGTGTTTAAACAAAATTCAGATATAAAAACCAATTTAAAAACTAGTGGTGCAGGGCATCGCGCCTTAAGACAAATTGCTTGAACTTTCCACACCAGAATTAAATATTCGAGAGAAAACAATCAGTGATCAATAAACATTGATCAATGATTTACAACAATTGTTTTATACATTTTCAAATAGATAATTATAATCACTATATATTTTATCGTTCATAAAATATACAGTGACTATCTTATCGCTCAAAAGACTTGAGAATGTTTACTTTAGCAAGAGGTGCCGAATGAATGCATCTGAGGATATATTTCTTACGATTAGGATAACGAATTTGAAATATATACATTTTCAAACTGAATTGTGAATTTAAAAGTCACATTTGAAGTATAAAATTTTGTATATTTTTGAAACGTTTGAAATTTTTTTTTTCCGGAAAATTTTTAATATGGTTTGAACCGTATAAGTTAACTTTAAAAATTAACGATTTCGGTTCGGAAACCAACAAAATTATAACAAAATTAGTACTCATTTATAAAAACTCTATAAAATATCTGATAATTTTATGTGCATATGTCTAATGATTATTTTTGACCGCCAGGTGGCATTTTTTTTACTTTTACTTCTGTATATCCAAAACTGCCTTCCCAAAAATTTAATCAGTTCTTCATTTCGTCAATACAAGCAAAATGTTTTTTTCACTATTCAAATCGGACGCTCCGTTCTCTCAAAAACTCGATTTCTACTTTCTGCACTCTTTGCTCAGTATCTCCAAAACGGGTAGACCTGCCTTTGCTAAAAACTAATCAGCACATCAATAGGAATCGAATGTTTTTTAAACCATTCAAATCGGTTGATCCGTGCGCCCGAAATCGTGGACGAAAAATTGTATCCTTACATACACACACATCCTATTTTTTCTGAGGTATGCTAGAATGTTCAGAAACCTCTGAAACGTGAACGAAACGACTACAATAACTTACCCTACGGGAATTATGTTTTTACAGAAAAATCATATTTGCTAATTTTGTTTTCTCGACGTTTCAAGTCATTTTGAATCGTTTGACTTCAAAATTTAAAGACAACGACTATTTCTGAGTCAAATGAGTTTTCTTCAACTTTAAATGCCATTTCATGAAACTTGATAAAAACTACATTTTTGGAAATTTGAAGATATTAGGTGGGAATTAGTTGATGCATTATAAAATATTATAGGCCTATGAAAAATGGTCTTAGCACATACACGTACCTATACCTTAAGGTATAATTACGTGTATGTGCTAAGACCATTTTTCTCAAGATAATTGTTATGAACTTTTGTTAGAATATGAGTACATTAATTTTGAATACATATTTCTATTTTACATACAATTGTATTAAATAATATTTAATAATTATATTTATATTTAAATTTATTTTTTTATTTAAAATTATTTCAAAGATTCGTTGAAGTGTGTCAAGAAAAATACATTTAAATATCAATTTAGGAGACTTAGAATTTTATAATAGGTCTAATATCTCTTTCACAGGCCTATAATATCTTTGGGAGTTATTTTTGGCTATCAAACCTTATAACAAAGCAAAGTTTCGTCAAATTTGTAGACAAGTAAATCTGATCTTTGAGTTGATATTTAAATATATGTAAAAAAAGTAGCCACGTTATATCAACGTATCACCAAATATCGTAACTAAACTTCAACATTTGTTACGTAAATGTAACCTCTACATTCCAATATACATATATCAATTATCACTGTACTTCTAATAAAATATACGTATATAAATATAATTTTACACTATTTATTCATCATATCAAATCAACCTCATAAAATCTTATTTTTATATAAATACTGCACGGCAGTAAAAATCTGTAACAGAGGCATTCCGCATTCCGAAAACACTTTACCGCATCTTTCTAAAAATATAATAACAAAATAAATGATCCACATGCTTTATAATATATAATATATATATATATATATATATATTATTTTTATATTTCTACTGACCGTGTCCATTTTCGTGGTCCTTCTGAGCCTCCCTGCCGATTTTTTCTGCCATCAGATATTCGTTGTCCGAATGTTCGCTAAGGGCTTCGTTTGTCGTAGAAGGACTTTAATAAGTATTCACAATTAATTAATAATTTATTAATCGACTGGACAATAGAGATTTTTCGATACTCACGTCAGTATTATGTGCATCAGTTCGCCAAGGATTCCGTTTTCGTGGGTGAAGGGATTTTCGGATCCTTCGCAAATCGCACGTAGCATGCAAGCTTTGCCGTGCATTCCGTAACTAAAAATAGATTTATATATATATATATATATATATATATACATGTATATATATATATAAATATATATATATATATATATATATATACGTATACATGTATATATATAAATATATTTTTTTCTCATTGTCATATTTAGGTATTTTTTCACTTTTCTAAAATAATTGTTTTTAAATGAAGGTTTTTTGTTAGTTTTGAAATTTAACAATACTTTCAACTCCCTTAAAGTCTAAAACTCCTGTTGAGCGTATCACTGATGTTTACAAAGTAGATTGTAATGATTGTAATTATTGTTACATTAGCGAAAGTTCGCCATATATTTACAAGAGAATGGACCAACACATTTGTAATTCTAAAAATCCTAATCAGTTTAAGACAATGTTTTCGGAACATGTGATTAGTTTAAACCATACTTTCAATACCAAAAACGCTATTATTTTACATAAAGAAAAGAATGTTCACCTCATAAAATTTGCTGAATCTGTATTTATTTTTTTAAACCCCCTTTGCGTTAATAAACGAAATTCTGCTTTTCTAGTACATGACTCTTATCAAAATATTATCATTTTTTTTCAAAAATAATTTTCCAAATCTTTGACTATTGTCAAAAAATAATTTTCCAAATAGAAATTGTGTTTCATAGTCTTCTTTATTTTATGTTTTATTTTTCTTTTCGAGTGTCACGTGACATTTCGTCGTATGAGTTCGATTTGCTCAGAACTAGATTACACAAATTTTCAGTTTTAAAATTAAAAACAAAACATGTTCACATAATATGTTTATTTTTTATGTAATAGTTTATTTTCTATATGTATTCATCAAGAAAAATGTTTTTTCCTGGAGTAGTATGTAAATCTTTTAATTATTTTAAATATAAAATTAAATTTAATTTTTAGTCTGTGTAGATATTTTTTAGATACTGTTAACAAAATTGCTGAATGATGACACACAATCCGTGTCGAAACGTATATTATAAATTAATATTTTTATTTGTTTATTTTCTTTTATTTCGACGATTTGCTGAAAATCAATATTCAAGATATGTCTCAACGTCGAAGAAAAAATCTAATTATATATATATATATATATATATATATATATATATATATATATGTGTGTTTGTAATATTTTTGCAGCCCAATCGTCGAATTAAAAATAAGATTAAATAACAAAATTATTTATTCCATTAAACGTTTCGACACTTGATGTGTGTCATCATTCAGAAATCTGAAAAACATATAACAGAAATCCAAAGTTGATGATAAATATAAATATGTATATAGAAAAGGAGGAAATTATACATACCAAACCAGGAAAAACAATAGAAAAAATTAATTATGATGTAAAATTGATTGAACACGAGAAATTGAAGGAGCACATATTGCCCTCCTATATTTTATGTTATTAATAGCGGTGCATTATGG